TCTCTAGGGAAGAGTTCTGTTTCCTCAGATGTATGACTACTGAATGCAACTATTGCCCTTGGGAAAACACTTAATATATTTATTGGTCTATTGGCTAAAGTATCAGATGAGCACATCTGATCCCCCCGAAAAATAGAACAAACTTGTGCAGATTAAAAAATACTGACAAACACTACAGACAAGGCACCTTACTGACAGACCTGCTGTGAGTTTAGAACCAGCCTCCGGATAGAACCAGCGTCCAGATTCAGTGGCAAATAAATTTGTAATGCTTTAAGAGAAAAGAATCCAGCAGGGTGATGGTTGAGGAGGGAACAGGACTCTATTCCTCCTGATGTGTGCTTTTCAAGAAACACATACCAACTTCTGAAACTGGCACTGACAGTGCTGCTCTTAGAACGGAAAGTATTTCTGCCTTTACAGCTGTAACTGAAGACCTAATTTCAGGTAGTTTGTGAGAAGTTCTTATTGAAGATGAACCACAAAAGTAAAAAAAGAGCATGAGTGACACTGCAGTTGTAGGCCCTGTAAAGAGACTTCTAGTATGGGCCACAAAAAGTTCCTGGTAAGCTGAGAGATGTTCCACCACTAGAAACATTTCTGCAACAGGATGAATTGTGGAGTAATGTGGCTAATGTTTTGGACCCTGATATATTCCCGGTTAATACTGAGATGCCAAGTAGTGGTGAGGAAGGGCAGGGTTGCAGAGATAGCTCTTACTTTTTATTTCACATAAAACCAGCATGAGGCAACAACTGTTCTGCTGGGCCAGAATGATGGGATTATAAAGCACTATGTTTACAGAATATCCTGTCTGCAAAGGTGGAGTAAGGTCTTCTACTATGCTTCACCATAAAGGGATTTCCCACCAAAAGGAATTTCCCTATCTCAGGCACAAACAGCCAGCAGAAACTCCCCGTGGCTTCGTGGGCCGAGCTGACGCTGCAGAACTATCTGCAGAAAAGTTTCCTTCACAGAGGGCGAAGCTTATTGGGAAGACTTGCAGAAAGGAGCTAATGCAATTTAATAACTCTAATGCTGGACATATATGAACATAGAGGAGGGTTATGAAATGGTGATGTTGCTTTTGACTAACAAGAGGCATTTTCTTTCTTTGAAAGAACAAAGTTAGAAATTGGAGAAAATCTGCCTTCCTTTCCTCAGATCATGAAAGAATGAAAAACTAAGGGGGATTTGTCCTATAAATACATAAGACTCGTATCATTAAAAGCTGGCTTGTCTTTTTGGAAAAGAACACCCTTAGAAGGGGATTTCTTTTCTTCAACCTCCATTCCCCCACAATGCTGGTGCAAGAGGGGCAGGCATAGGCATTCTGACATAAGGAACTCTATACCACAATAAGTCACGGTGTCTAATACTGGAAATGCCCTGCTACTGCTAGCTCTGCACCTGCATGATGTGGAAGCTGTACCCCTTTAGTATACTGACACAATTAAAATAGTGTCACTTTGTGTGGCTTTTGCTAATAGCGATCCACCTCATAAAGGCTAAATCTAGATAAACCAAGCACTTTGGCTCCAGTAAGTTTTCTCCATTTCTAATGCATCTTGTATTAACAAACACTGTTGATGTGTGGGTGTTTCAAGATGCTCAAAGACAGAGAAAGAGCTCTGTGTAACTTCAGGGAAAAGGGTAATGAGTTTGGTAATTCAAAACAACTCACTCAGTCAGCAAAGAGCATGGGAAGGCTCTTTCCCACTGAGCCGTATTGCAAAAGGCTACAGCAAGTAACACGAAACAAAAATGTTGAAAAGAACCACAAAGGAGACGTAAGATGAAGGCCATGGGGGTTATGCACACCATGGAAGGGATCCCACCGATGCGCAAGGTGAAGCTAACCACACTCTCAACAACAACGAGGACCAGTGCAAGAAAGAGCAAGTCCTTTTATGCAACTGAAAGAGAAATGAGGTCACCGAGTTCAATGAGTTTATCTTACTCCACCACTAGATGTTTGCACTCGTGCCCTGTTTTCACTTTTATTTACATAAGAAAGGTCTACAGTAAGTTACTCTTGGCAACATGCTCACACCACAAATCTTGCCTGAGCATGTGGGAGAAAAAGATTTATTTTCAAAGCCTTCAAGTCATCAAATTCTTACGAAATCCACTCCTTTTCTCTTGAAGGAAATTACATTGGCTCAGATCTAACATGTGTTATTCAGTTAATCCATCTGCGGAAATAACCTTGGTTTAGACTGTATCCTTCCATAGTAGGATATTTAAGAAGAGAGGATAGCTGACTTAGGGAAGAGCAGGAGAATGGCCAGAGAGATGAGAATTTGTTCTCTGAGAAAAAGACAGAGAATTAGGATTATGTTTTTACATAAATCAACAATAACATAGTTGTCCAGGGAGAATTTTTGTGATTAATCCTTTCCCTCAGTGGCAAACAAGTCAAAATTATGCACCAAAATAAAATGTAACAGTCAGCCTGAGGGCCACTCAAAATATTTTCTTTTCTATTCTGATTTTTTTCTACTAGTTTGTAACAGGAGTTTGAAATGAGTGGTCATTCTAAACTGAAAAAAAAAACCCAGAACTTTTTGATTCAGTAAATATTCATTATAGAATATTTCGATAGTTCTGACATTTTTTTCCAACTAATTTTTAAGCTGGAAATCTGCTGCAGCCTTTCCCACAAGTTGTTGTGACTTTCTTACATTTATTCAACAAAAAGCAGTTGCTGAAAGAGAGCTCCCAAACCAGCTCTACTATGAAGTGAAGTTGAACACTGCTGGTGTAAGCTCCATCTCTGTAAGTAACAAAGCAGGAACACAAACTTTTAATTCTGGCAGGCAGTACGGCTGCTATACTGTTTCCATCTATGATGGACAAAGTCCAGGCTGAGAGAGAACGGTGTTAGTGTATGTGCTAAGGCTTGAATGAAGCATGCAATACTTCATCTCTTCCTAATAAGGCCTAATTGTAGGAAATTGATAGGAAACTTGTAAAATACATACCCATTCTTCTTTTGGGTATTGTCTTCTCATTTTCCATGGATCTGCTTGGGAATGACTTCCATGAGCTATCATGGAGCAAGGATTCTCCTGCAGCTGCAGGACTGGATTCTCCCTCAACAAAAGGAGTTCTGACAAAAGCACTCTGTTCCACTGATTGTTCCTATATTTTTCATTAAAACGGTCACTGTATAACATACAGAGTTATTTATGGTTTAGGTGTTAGGAAGAGGGCGGGAGAAGTGAATTCGGATGCCATCAGACAGCAGGGAAGTGTACATCAGCCTCACGTATAATGAATGAGTGTCTGAAGAACAAGACCGTTGCGTGCAACCAGGGCATTAGGCTTTTCAAAGCATAGCTTGAGAAAGAAAGGTTACACGGTTTGCCTTCAGGAAATGGTTTTGATCTTTGGACTCCAAATTGGTGGAAGTGATTCTCAGCAGCTCTGAGAAAAGGTTCAGCAGTTTTGGCTGCCTGGGACTGAATGTGCTGACCCTTAGACAGCTCCTTGGTCACAGCGCTGTCTGGTTTTCTTTCTGGCAATCCAGACTCTCCCCAGGCACTGCTCAGTGAGCTGCAGACTCTAACCCAGCTTTCCAAATTCCTTTCCAAAGCCAGACACATTAAATGCACCCCATTCCGGACCCTGGACTCTCCGTATCCAGGTACTTCCTTTGGGTGTAACGCTAACGACCTTCAGCTGCAGTTCACAGGAGGACACAGCAGAAAGACAAATCACAGCAAAACACCTGAAGATATTTTCAAACACCTTTCTGAGTCTTCCACTGCAGACTTGTTGCCATCCCCACCTGACACTAGCACAACAGCACATTGCTTGGAAATCCTTGTAGCTGAGGTATATTTCAATTTTTGAAAGCTTGTGGATACCAGAGATGCTGATCATTTGTCCAGAAGGCGTTGGCAGACCCAAGCCAGAGCCATTCATAGAGTCTGGAGCAGTCTCAGCCCCTGTTGCCGCAGCAGTGGCCAGGCCAGCCTCTGCCCATGCGAAGTGCGAACGCCTGCAGCATCTCCGCCAGCCTCGAGCCCTCGCGCCCCTCACCACCGCAGTGCCCATCGGCCAGGGGTTCTGGTATGGCGGGCCTCTGGAGCGAGCCTCTCCCTGCTTGTGAAACGTTATCGTGACCTGGTTTGGGTTCTGTGTTGGGCTGGGTATTTTTCTTTTGTAGCTGTGAGAAGCTAAACAAACTTCAGCATATGAAGGCAATTACGCAGCTATCCCTGTTTCTGTTTAGGCACTGTCAACCAGCCTTTTCAGAAAAATATTTATTTTTGCTTAAAAAGTCCCTCTTGAATGATTTGAACTTGAAGGCCTCTTCCA